ATTTTTAGAATATGAGCCCGAGCGCCAGGGGCAGCACCAGCTATCCTCTCTACTTTGTGCCTTCCCGTTCTCCTTTCTTTTTAAAGAAAATCTCCACCGCACGCCCTGGGACGCATACTTCACCGTGAATAGGATTTTATCGTAGGACGAGAAGAACGAAAGAAAGCAAAAAGCACACCGCTTCTCCCCGTCGGGGAATCGAACCCCGGTCTCCCGCGTGACAGGCGGGGATACTCACCACTATACTAACGAGGAGGGAGCCGGGGGAGGCGCCCTCCGGCTCGGAGATCTGGAGCCGTGACCGCGATCGGCCGGGGCTTGCACCCTTCCTGCCGCTTGGGAAGAGCCAGCCGGAGACCCCCCCGCTCGCCCTGGACCGCCGCCAAGCCCACGGAGGCCGAGTCGTGGTGGGTCCCGGCCCGTTCCGCTCCCTGTCATCCGCAGCCCCGGCCCCCTGGGCCCGGACCTGCGCACGAAGAAGGGGGCGGGAAGGCGAAGGGCTGGCCCAGGTCGGTGCGCTCTCCCCGTGCGCGCCCCCCGCGGGCAGGCCGGCCGGGCTGTGCGCTCGGAGCAAAAGAGCTCCCGGCGAACCTGCTCCAGGGTCTGGCCGGCTGCGCGGGGTCTGCGGGGAGGCCTGCGCGCGGCGCCGGTCCCTTCCACAGCGCCTCCGGGCGTCCCGGTCTCCGCCAAAACCAAAGTGGGGCTCGTCCGGGATTTGAACCCGGGACCTCTCGCACCCGAAGCGAGAATCATACCCCTAGACCAACGAGCCGACGTGAGAGAACGCTCGCGGACGCCTTTAGAGGTCGTAGCAGGCCCGATGCGGTCCAGGGCCACGGCTCGCGGTGGGGGCGGCCTGGCGCGCGCGCGGGGACCACCCGCCCCGACGCCGCCGACTCCCGAGCGGGCTCTGGGGATCTGCGCGGGCCCCCGCGCGCTCCGACTCCTCCCAGGAAATAACGTCGGGGAAGTAGGAGGGAGTGGTCTCGGCCTCCCGGGCTCCCCTCCCTCCCCGCGCAGCTCTCCGGGGCTACCCGCTCGCCGTGGTCACGGTCTCCGTCACCTGGGGTCTCGACTCTAACGGGCCGCGCCCGCCGCCCTGGGACCCAGTGCGCTGGCGCAGAGGTGCCTGGTTGGGGACGATGAATGAGCCCTGAGCTGCCTAGGTGCACACCTGCGCCTCCATCCGCCCCTGCACCTGTCCACCCTCCTGGAGCGACGAGCAGCGCCAGGGCCCAGGCCAGGGAATAATTCCCGTGGCCGAGAAGACCCACGGAAGAGGAGTCATTGACGAATGGGGGGCGGGGCGGGGTGGGGGACAGGCGGCATCGGGGCACGGAGCCGGGTCTGGCCACCAGCACTGGTTACAGGACTTCCCGCCAGTGCGATCAGGTTACCGGTATCTTCCCGTCTCCCCTCCGCTCTCCCCTTACCTCCTAGGACGGCCAGGCAGGAGCCCCACCCCCTGCCGCCTAAGGCCCCCAGACGGTAGGGGGATCCGAGGCAAACGCCTGCACGAGTGTCTAAGGCCAGGCCTTAGGGCCTCGCAGAGGGTTCCGGGCTCCGGGAGCCTCTAAACGCTTAAGGCCCTCAAGCGTGCCCTCGCCCTGGGGCCACCCGGAGTCGCGGCGGGACACGGTGGCGCCCGGTGCCCGCCACCTGCGCTGCCTCCCCTCTGCTCGGTGCCTGCTCTGGGGAGTTCTCCCAGCAGGGTCTGAGCAGCCGCGGCCCTGCACCTTCTGGTAGCACCTCGGGGCTGAACCACTTTGTTCCACCTGCCGGTGGTGGGATTTGTAGGGCCAGGCCCTTCCTAATGCCCAACTCACCGATACTTTGGTGGGGAGACATCAATGAAGGATTCAACCCTTCGCTTTTTCTTTCCTGCGTGTCCCCTGCGTGTCCCTGCCCCTCCTTTCCTGTCCGTGTCCCAAGCCTTTTTGCGGGGCTCAAGTGCTGAGGGCTGGTGTTCCAGCATCTCCCTCTCCCTTTTGCAATTTGTGTCTCCTCTTAGGCCCCAGCGTTCCCCCCAAGTCTCTAGTTACTGCTCTCTTAGCTGCTCTCAAGCACCTGAGATCTGCCCAGAGGCGGAGCCCTACCTCCCTGATAGGATGGGATGAGCGCTGTGGCCCATGTCCCTAGAAATCCCGGGCGGTCTGAGAGAGTGCACAGATAGCCTGAAGCGGCATCCGTGGGCCCTACTTTCGGAATCCAAGAACTAAGGTATAAACTGATCACTGTTTAAGTTTGGTGTATTTTACATTTTCATGGGAGTCAAAGCTTTACGCGGAAATAGTTGTTTACTAGAACATATGGCAAATTTCCACCTGGTCTTCAAGACTCAGCTCACCTCCTCCAGGAGGCCTCCCCTGGCCACTCTCCACTCGGAGGTCCCTGAGATGTCCCTTCTCTGTGTTGTCACAGCACCCTGATCCTGCCCTGAGGGCACTGGGTTGTGATTTCTTCTTCCTTCCCCTGAGCTTGGAAGAAAGGGGCTGTGCCTTTACTCACAGCGGTACAACCCTGATCCGCCCAGTGGGCATCCCCATGTGTCATCTCCATCCCAGCCATTCCTTCAAGACGACACTTCTGCTCAGATTTCTTAGAATGGTTCCTGGGCCAAAGGATGGTATCCAGATCGTTCTGCCTAATTTCCAGGAACATAGGTTCCTGGTTCCTGCCAACTGCCTGTGGATCCCACCTCTTGCCTCCTCCCTCCACAGCATTTCCCTCCCCAGCCTGGCCTCTGTGCTCCCTTCCACCCCTGACTGTGCAGAGACCCCACTGGGAATGCGCTCTCTTGGGCTCCCACCCTGTTCACATTCGTGGTCCCAGACCCTCAGCCCCACTCTTGGAGGAAACCAGATGGCATGATTTCTCTGCCAACTCCTAACCCGGACTGCCAGCTGGTAGGAACGGATGAAGGTAACTGTATGTGAAGGAACTGCACCCCCCCACCCACACACCAATATTCTTTTTAATAGAAAAAATTCAAAAACAGTCTATGTACATATACAGTTTCGAGGCCCCAAACCAAAGAAATGTAATGAAGAACCAAACAACACAAAGCGACTCAGGCTCCCGGAGACGTCCTGGGGTAGGGACTGGGCGGTGGGGCAGCCCCTCCCTCAAGGCCCGGGGGGGGGGAGCAGGTGCACCAAGGAACACGTGGGCCTGGGGTGGGGGGAGCAGTGATCTCCAAGGACCTGCAGCTCGTTTCTATGGGAAACCTGAGCGCCCCGAGGGCGGAAGGGGGCAGAGCTGGAACCCTTGCTCTTTCAGTATAAAAACACTTGTTAAATCTATTGGGGGAATGTCGATTTAGGAACAAAATGGAAGGGCTCTTTGGGCAGGGTTGAATAAAGGCACCGCTGGGATTCGAACCCAGGATCTCCTGTTTACTAGACAGGCGCTTTAACCAACTAAGCCACGGCGCCAAGGACACCAGGGCCGCTTCGGAAGCTGCACTACAGGAATATAGCGCTGGGAGCGCGGCCGCGGCCACTTCCGACTCTTAGGAAGCCGCTCTTTGCAAGGCGGCAGGATTTGGCGCCGCACGTTTACCCCCTGGGATCCCCAGAGTGGAAAGGAATAAACCGAGGATCTCGAACCTGGCCGGCAGAGCTCGGTTGCGGTTCCCCGAGACCCGGGTCTCTGACCTTGGCCCGGTGGCACGTGGCCAGGACGTAGGAGAAGAAAAAGCTTGCGTAGTCGGCAGGATTCGAACCTGCGCGGGGAGACCCCAATGGATTTCTAGTCCATCGCCTTAACCACTCGGCCACGACTACACCGCCGGAACGCTGTCTCTCCTCCTTAGCCTTTCTTAGCTACCCCGACCTGCAGACACCCCGCCCCCCAAATCACTCGGGGTCCCAGACCCAGGCCCGAGAGAGCGGCTGGCGCCGGCCGCCCCAAAAAAACTCGGGCCCGCCCCGCCCCTCCTCTTTTCCTCTCTCCTCTCGGGGCCCCTCCTCCCGGAGCTCGCCCCAGTCCTGCCGCCTCCAACAGCGCGCTCCCGGGGAAGCGGGAAGCGTCCCTCTGCCCCAGCCAGGGGACCTCCCCACAAGCCTTGCAGTCCGCCAGCCATTTAGGTTTTGAGAAGCGTTAGGTCTGATGTTGTCTGTGATCAAAAGCCAAATCGCTCCGCGCATAAAGTTCTCGGTTGTAAACAGTAGGTGCACGCTAGAAAGAAAAACAAAGGCAAAATCCAGACCCTAGTGTGGCCCGTACGGGGATCGAACCCGCGACCTTGGCGTTATTAGCACCACGCTCTAACCAACTGAGCTAACCGGCCAGCGGTGGAGAAAGGCTCCTCTAATCTCTCCGTATGTACGAGTACACAGTACAAAGTTACATCCCAAACACTTCTAAGCGGTCCCTAAAGGCCAAAAGGAACGCCCACAGAACCTCTCTAAACGGTGTGACTCGACTGTACCTCTCCGGCTAGCAAGGAGCTCCCAGGAAGAAAACACACCACCAGCCAAACGCATCACCCCCCACAAATGGTCCAGCAACTCCGGACTCGTGGGTTCTGTGACTGAATTCCTCCCAGTCTCGGGGTTTCAAATCCCGAATCTGCCTCAGGCCTGGCTGGCCCAGAAGCCCACGGCACTGACTGGCTCTGCACATGCCCTAGCTTCCTCTCAGGCCCCTCCGAGCGCTGTTCCCCTCCCCCACCCCAACTTCTCCTGGCTGGAACCCTCAAGGGTGACACCCCCTGGGGTTCGCCCCCGCCCCCTGGGCTTGGCACCCCCCCCCCAAGGCTCACACTCCTCTAGGTTGGCACACCCAAGGTTCCCAGGCCGGCTTGCTCACACCATCTAAGTTGTCCACCCTGCCCTCCACTCCCCAAGGTCCCCGTTAAGGCTTGAGTCTTGGTAGCATTGCCCGACCAGAAGCTCTTCTCCAAACAGATCGTGGCAGGAGCAACAAACGAGGCGAAGTGAGGGGCTGGCGGTCAGGAGGACAGGAGGCCGGGGACCCCGAGAGAAACACAAGTGAGATACCTTACTAGAGCTTTATTGCAGGCCAATGGTCCTGCCACAAATACCGCCCCCCCAAAGGCAGAACCTAGGTGCTCAGGGCCCTGTCAGGGCCAAAGCGGTGACCCCAACCAGAGAGGGAGTACCAACGGTGGTGCCGTCATCTGCCCATTTCCACACCTCAAGGCAGGCTGGCACCAGAACGGAAGGACACATCACAGAAGGGCACCAGTTTGTGAACTCAGGGATCTGGGGTCCTGGTGCAATCACAGAACAGGTAAGGGTACAATGAGGGGGGTGGAGATAGGCCTGGGCCTCAGGGCTTCCAGCAGGCCCCCCTCCTGCTGTCCAGGTTGTTAGCAGGACAAAGAAAAGGCTCCCAGGGAGCTGGGGTGCTTGGGCTCCTGGATAGAAAGGCAGGACAATCGGATCCTGGGGTTCACACGAGTCAGAAGAGTCAGCTCTCCACACTGGAACCGCTGCAGCCGGGCAGGCTCTGTGAGGGGAGGGGAGACAAGGGGATGTACTGCCCAAGGCTCTGTAGGCTTCCCCCCAATCCCCCGGCCCCCTCAATCACGTGTCCCTCTTCCTCCTAGGACCCACCCATCTACACACCGCACCCTCGTCCTCACCTAACGGGGTGACCATGGAGGGTTTCTTCTCAAGCTCAAAAGAAAGCACGACAGGGCGGAGGACAGAGAAGCTGGTACACAGTGTCCGGAGGAAGAGGGTCAAGGGCTCATCCACCTTGGTTGAAGACTACAAGGGGAAATGGACGATGAATCAGAACTCAATTTCTTTTCCACCCTCAGAACCCAGATTCCTAAACCCTCTACCAAACCCTGGAGCGTTTGCATTTTGAGCCTTGACCTCCCAGCCATATCTCACCTCAGGCTGGGCTCCGGGACCTGTGAATTGCAAGGCCACTTTCCCTGGTCCTCGGACAAACTCCAGGAGGGAGGTCCACTCACTGGGACACAGCCCCAGGGCTGTGGCCACATGATGATTCCTACAGGTCACCACGGCTTCGGCAGTGCCATCCTCCACTAGGAGCCTGGGAGAAGGAGAGGCCACAGAGGAAAAAACTCCCACGGCGGACCTGGGTGGCCCACACATACCTCCCTCCCCACCACTTCCCATCTTAACTCACTGGACTTTAATTTACTCATGCCTAAATACTTATGAAGTGATTCGGGCCAACAGACAGACAAAATCATGCAACAGGGAAACAAATGGTGCAACCAGTGCCCACCTGGTGCTCTCACCTGATGCTGGCCTGGCTTACACACGTCTGTGTGGGGCAAGTGGAACCCTGGCGAGTACACCTCCCCTGGGATGAAGAGAGGGGTTGGAAAGACCCTGTGAGTGCCCCCACATCCCTTGGACACCCAGCGCCCAGCTCAGCCTATCCCCTCGCGTACCTGGGGGCAGAGACTAGTACAGTGAGCACACAGCCACAGGAGCTGAAGGCTGAAGACAGAAACGATATGGCAAGAGGCCCTGGCCTGGAACGGGGCCCGGCCCCCCTGCAGAAGTTCAGCCAGGAAGATGTGGGGCAGTGGAGCACTAGAGAGAGACACAGACGTCAAGGAGCAGCCAGGAGGGTTCTGGGAGTGCACGTTGTCTGGAAGGCCTGGGCAGGTACAGGGATGGGGACAGGAGGGGGTTCTGTGCTCTACCAGGAGCCTTATGGCTCATTCTGGATCCTGACCTCAGACCAGTGATTTCTCAGGCTCGAACCCAGATGATAACCAAGAAAGTTATTTGCATCTTAGACAGAAAAGCCTTCAAGAGCCTAGAAACACTAAATCTCTCTGGGTAAGATAATAAGCATTAGGCAGGCATTCTTATCTGGGGCAGAGGAAGTCCTCTGACTTCACATGTTCTCCTTGTGGTACAGAACACTAGTTATGGCAAAAACCCCAGAGCTGGAACCACATGTTGGGTGCAGATGCAAGGCTGTGTAGTCTGGGGATCAGGGCCCAGGGCACTGACCTGATTGTGGTCTCTGGGGGAAAACTCAGGACCTGCAGGTAAGTGGATGGCCGGAAACAACAGTAAATATTGTGAGATCTGCAAGTGCAGCAGGCAGGGTGAAGAGGAAAGAAGTCAATTTGAGGTAGAAACTGGCACCGGATCATAGGCTTAGACACAACCTCCCCAACCCACAATGCCCCAGCCCCAGAGGGATGCTCCCTGGCCTGAGCAAAGGGAGGAACGAGGGAAGGACTAGTCTGGAGCATCTCATGAGGGTAGAGGGCAGGGGAGTAATATCAAAGAGAAGGTGTGGCAGCATGGCAGCATGGTCGGGGGTGGGGGGGGGGCATTTCAGAGATCCCCAGCAGTAGGGAGGAGGAGCAAAGCAGTCTCATAGATCTTCACCTGGAAATCTTCTTCTCCAGCTGGTTGAAGTAGACTCGGGCACCTGGAAGGAGGCCTAGTGGGGGAGGCAAGTGTGGGTCTTTGATATAGATGTCCAAGTGCGGGCGGGACTGGCAGTCAGCAGCCTCCACGGCTACAGTCAGCTTCACACACCCTCTGGAGGCCCGAGCACCACCTGCAGCAGCCAAGGGAGGGGTCAGGGGCATCTGCCTAGACCAAAGAGTCTACTCTACTCTACTTCACACTTTCCCGCCAGAGGAGGCATTACCAGGCTTCGTCCAGAAGGGGGCCGGAAATGGCTCACACAGGGTCCGTGACAAAATCTCAGCTGAGAAAGACACCAGGGACTCGGTGAAGCTGTAGGGTCACAGAAATACAGTGAAAACGGAGGCATAAGAAAGCAGAGATTGGAGAGAGGTCTGAGGACAAAAGGAGGAGCCCAAGTCTGTGCTAGAACATCATTTACAGGGTCCTAAAAAAAACCCTGAGCCGTGTCAAGTCACACACTAAAGGTAACAGGGCAGGCACCTCTCCACTTTGGCTCAGGTCATGATCTCAGGGTCCTGGGATTGGGCCCCGACTGGTGTCTGCTTCTCCCTCTCCCTCTGTCCCCCACTAGTGGTGGGCATGCGTGTGTTCTCTCTCTCTCTCAAATAAATGAAATGTCTTAAAAAGAAGACAAAATTAACAGGCCTTATGGGAAAAACAGCTTATCACTCAAAACCTACACAACACTGTGAGCAGAGGCCTTACCAGAAGTACCCCAGACGTCAAATGTGCCATATGCCTGTGTACCTAACAGGTGGCCTATCACTGGCAGCTTCACATGCTGGCATTCGTGACCACTCCTTCAAATTAGGGGTCCTTGAGAACACTTTCTACTAGAGACCAGTTTTATAAAAACCTCATGAACAATCCAGTAAGGCTTTTTTGCTTTTTGAAAACACGGGGAAAATCTGTGGCTTCCTCTGCACTGGCAGCTGCCCCAAGACAACAGTTGTTCCTTGAGGCCAGGAGCACTTCCACTAATAAGGAAGGTCCTGCCCTATAGAGTTTAGCTTTTTTTTTTTTTTTTTTTTTTTTTTTTTTTTTTGAGAGATGCCACTGAGGGCTTTCAGTGGCAGTCTCTTTTTTTTTTTATTTTTTTTTTATTTACGATAGTCATACAGAGAGAGAGGGGCAAAGACACAGGCAGAAGCAGGCTCCATGCACCGGGAGCCCGACGAGGGATTCGATCCCGGGTCTCCAGGATCGCGCCCTGGGCCAAAGGCAGGCGCCAAACCGCTGCACCACCCAGGGATCCCAGCTTTGTTCTTTTTTTAATGGTTTGGTGTTTTTGTGTGTGTGTCTGTCTGTTTTTTGTTTTGTTTTGAAGATTTATTTGTTCATGAGAGACAGAGACACAGGCAGAGGCAGAAGCAGGCTCCATGCAGGGAGCCCGATGTGGGACTCGATCCCAGGACTCCAGGATCACACCCTGGGCCAAAGGTAGGCGCCAACCCGCTGAGCCACCCAGGGATCCCCATGTCTGTGTTTTTTAATATTTCCTTTCATTGCTCTAACTTTTCCTTAGTTGTGAGAAAGCTTGCTTGTGATCTTCTGAAAAATAGTAATGTACAAGGGAAAACTCAGGCATGAAACACACCTTCCATCTCAGGGGGACAGCATTCTCTGGGAGCTACATACTGTTACAGTAACACATGCTAGGGCAGAGGACAGGCTGTTCAGCAAGTCAGCAGGCAGGAAGAGCATGGGGCCACATGAGCTGGAGAAGCTGGTGGACATTTACTTGCCACTGAGCAGGTCGTCCAGTGGGGTCTTAGGCAGGGCCTTGCTGCTCTCCAGTGCAGCTGGGAAGTCCTGGCCATTCTCAACCTCCAGAGTCCAGTCGTCCTGGACAGTGAGGCAGGACGCATAGCCAGCCAGCTCCAGAGGGTGGTGGGGTGTGCATGACGGCCCACCTTCCTCGAACAACAGTGGGGTCTGCCAGCAAGAAGACAACTCTCTGAGTGTGTCCTGCTCCAGAGGCAGGTTTACAAAATACTACGACGCAATTTTGCTTCCTTCCAGGAGCCTGGTGCGGAAGTGGTCTAGATTCAGACAGGCTTTCCAATTGATCTAAATCCATCCTTCTTCTAGGAAACCTGGTAGATATAGTAACCAGGCACTGCCACGCCCTCTCCAGACCACAGGCCAAAAAAGCTTTCTGGGGAAGGGTGAATGAAGAACCAAATGGGGCACTCACAGGAGGGCCAGGACCCACGAGCCGGTACACTTGACCTGGGTGCAGGAACTCAAACCAGCGTACTGAGCAGCCACGGAAGACTAAGAGAACCTGGGAGGAAGCAAGGGAGGCAGGCAGGTGCTGAGGCCCCAGACAGGAGCCAGGCGCACAGGATGTCAGGCCCTGGGTCCCTACAGTCCCAGTTTACCTTCCGATCCTTGTTCCCATCTCCTTGGGGTTCAGGTGGGCCCCATGCAGTCCCCTCCTTCCTCTGGGTGCCCCCAAGCCAGCTCCCCGAAACGTAGAAACTGAGGATGGGCTTGGGCACCTCTGGGCTAGCTCCTGGGGGGAGACAAAGATTCCTCTTCATCAATGCCTCCTTCCGGGACAGCAAGAACAGCCGGCTCTGTTCTATGTGGGAACCCTCTGGGCAGGTGGGCTCTGCCTGAGTGAGGGAGGTGGCTGAGTGAATCAAGGGTCTGGGCACAGGCAGGATCAGGGCATCCGCCAGGAAGAACTGGATATAGACTCTGTTGAGAGACGAAGAGTAGGTTTCTTAGCAATGCACGCAGGTGTCACGGGCCCCAGCACTCCACCACCTGCACCAGGTCTGCCCCTTCCCCTCAGACCTTCAGGGTGTGGCCACTATCCCGGGGGCCCAACCTGGCCTGCTGCTTCTGGATGAAGCCTGTTATGTTCAGCTCCTTATAGGAAGGAAAGTTGCTTCTGACATTCCTTTCTATGACCAACTGGAACTTCTCTGTCCGTACCAAGCAGCCTAGAGAAAGAAAGTTTTCTACTTTGACAAGAGGAGGCGACTGTGGGATAAGCAGTGAAGTGGACCACCCTGCATGTCTCACTGCCCATCTGAGGCCTGAGCTGCTCCCCTAACACAACACGACAGCCCAGACATGACCCCCACCTCAGAGGGATCGTATCTCTAAGGGGGAAACTGTCCCAGCCACACGTCCAATGCTGCCCCTGGCCTCCTGGGCTACAATGCCTCAGTTCTATTTTCTCATAAATCCCAAAATGCCTCAACCTAAGAAACTGTCCCTGTCCATATATCTCAGTGAGTCTAAACTAAGAAGTGTCTCCTGATGTGCACGTCAGAGGCTACGGTGGGAGAAATGAACCTTGGGATTGGTGTTCTGGCTGGAAAAACCCCTGCTCCTTTTCTCTGCCAATACTAGCGTCTCAGACTTGTCCCCAAGCTCAAGGATCAACACGTGCCACTCAGCATCTCAAGAAAACCTCAACAGGTACCTCCTCTCCCCAGCCCTACTGTTCTGAGACACCATCACCCCCAACTCCAAACCTATGAACCGGGAGTCAGTGATGGGCTGAGAGTGCGTGGCCAGGATCAGGCAGGGGAGGGAACCAGTCTTGTCCCGAAGCTGCAGACAGCCTTTATGAGACGAAGCCGCCAAAACCCCAATTAAAATCTGTAGGGAGATACAGGACAAGATATCGGGTATTTGTTCAACAAATACTCAGCAGCTACTCTGCACCAGATGCTATGTTAAATGCTAGCTACAGAACAAACAAAAAAGATGTTGTCTCTGACCTCAAAGGACTCACAAGGGTATGAAAAAAAACACCCAAGCATTCGCACATTCAGTAGCAGGGGTGAGGTTAGAAGCAAGAGACCATGCAGGACCTCACAGGGCACAGTAAAGACTTTGCATTTTACCTTACGTGCTCTGAGAGAAACCAGCAAAGGATTTAAGGCAGCTTTGTAAGCCCAGTGAGGTTGGACCCCCTCCCTGTCTGCCGCAGGGAGAACAGATGGGGTGGGCGAGAAGAGACAGAGCCATCTAATAGAAGCCTGGTGCCGCCAAAGTGACGAGAAAGATCATGGGAGGGTGATGAAGGTAGCCTAAAGTGCAAGTCCTGAGCACCGGGCGCCCCACCTACCTGGGCTGGGTGGAAGGTGGCGGGCAGCAGAGAGAGCCAGGACCAGGACACACGCTGGTTGAGCTGGGAACTGGTCAGATGGGAAGCCTCCGGGAGGGGCAGGAGGGTCTTGGGGTCAAAGGCAGCCCAGGCCCTGCACCGCCCTTCCTCTTTCAGGGTGGTCAGAGTGGGGAAAGAACATGGGGTCTGCAGCCGTGTGTACTGTTGGGATGGAAGAGAAACCAGATAGTGCGGCCAAGTGTCCCTCAGGGCATCAGCTCCACCACCCATCTCTCCCACACATGCTCGCACCTTCTGCAGGGGACAGTGATGCGGCTCTTCGAGGATCTCCTTGTGTGCATTCCGACGGGTACTGCCCGGTGGAGTCAGAACATCCAAGACAGGAGCCAGGAGTTGCAGCCCCGGGCTGGGGTTCCCAGGAGAGGAGTGCTGCAGGAGCTGGTGGTGTCTCAGCATGTGGGGACACAGCCTGGGCCAGGAAGAGAAGCAGTCACATGCCCCAGAGGGGTGTGCCCCTTCCAGGATCCTGCTCCCCTGGCCCTGAACCCCTCCAGCCCCCCAACTCCGAACCCTGCCCTCCTCACTTGGAGGCCAGCTCCTCCAACGCCTTGGTAGCCCACAGGTACAGCGGAAGGCCTAACTGACGTTCCCACACCAGCTGCTCATACAAGGAGGCTCCCTGAGCCTGATAGAAAGACTGAGTCTCAGGCTTCTGACAAGAAAAGCCTCGAAGTAGAATGGCGCCATGGAGGCAGGGGGCGAGCACAGGCCTTCTCGTCCCTCCACCCACTGATTGCAGGAGGTGAACATCCTGGAGCTGAAGAAAAGCAGAAAAAATGAAAATGCAGAAGTGAAACTGTCAACTCAATGATCACTGGAGAGTTGCCTGTAGTTCCCTACTGCCTGGCGCCAAGAGAAACCTTTTCTCACATACTGGCCATTTCCTTCCAGCTCCTGTACTCCACTTTCTGTCTGGCACAACCCACAACCCCCATGAGAAGCCTTCACCCTGCCCCCCACGAGCCCCGCCCAGTTTTCCTATGGGCCTGGAGGCTCTTGGCTGGTGTGGGGGACCCACCAGGGACTCAGCTCTAGCATCTCCCCCTCTAGTTCCAAGGCCCTTCCTTTAAAGATGTTCCCAGGACCAGACTCTACTCCTTCGTGATCTGAGCTCCCATCCAAATCACTCCGGTATTAAGTATGCAATCCCCACCATCCAACAACACGTAAATCTTTTTACATTTTTGCTGTAGAAGTTCCTAACCTGCTGCTGCAAAACATAGCAGCCTGTGAAGGTCAGAGAAACTGTTGAGAGAACCTGTTGACCAGGCCTGACACCTCACCTACCTCCAGGGAGACACCCGGTCGTACCACCTTCCTGAGGCTGTGGAACTGCTGGTAGGCGAGGCAGAGCGCCAGCTGCCCGTCCACCTCATAGAGCCCGGCCGGCTGACTTAGCACACTAGTGACCTTTCCCTGCAAAGAGGCCAAAGGTCCAGTTGATCCCTCTTTCTTTCCTCTCTGGAGACCCGAATTTCCTGCCCCCCATCCTCATCCCTGAACTCTCAGATCTCTCCTTTTTGCTCACCGTGTAGGATAAGAGTGTTGAGTTCCGGACAAGAGCTGTTTCCCTGTCCCCGTCTTGGGAGCTACTGGGCATGGAGAGTGGCGCAGGGTCAGCCTCCAAGAGGGGACCATCCAGCTCCAGTTCCAGCTCTCGCACACATTCTGGTTTCAGTGGCAGCAGATGGGAGGAGGGACTGGTCGTCCAAACACGGTAACAGTGCCCACGGATCCTGACTACTCGCAGCGCTGTCAGCACATAGGACCTACCAGGCCAAAGGGCTCGGTGCCACACCAGCTGGGCAGGGATCTGGCTTGTGCAGGGGCAGGCAACACGGCACATGAGACGCTTCCCACAATACTGCCCCTCTGCCAGAGTCTCTTCCCATCATGATCTGACCTCAATCACCTGCTCCTCATGAGTTCTGCCTGTCTGCCAATTAAATATTAACCTTCTGGATCTGGTTCCTCTCAGAGGAGATACCAAATATTTCCTAATCCCTCCCTCAAGATGTGAACCAGCCCTAAAACTTCCTCCAAGATACAGAAACATTCCACCCCAAACTCATGGCTTTTGCATTTTCCCATCCTACCCCATAACACACAAACTACTTTGGTTTGTTTAATCATACGTATGGGGTACCACATGCTCAGTACTGGGACAGCCATGAAGGGAAATACAAGAGACTGGTCGCTCCATCCCAACGTATCTCAACCCCCTGGGGAACAGAGACACACACTCAAGTAACATCGAGGAACCATATACGATCTACTATCAGAAACAACACATGTTCAGCAAAGTCTTGGGGAAAGACCAAGAAAGTCAGGATGGGTAGAAATGAGTGGGAAGGCCTAGTGAAGGAAGTGGGATCTGCATAGGGCCCTAAAGAGTATCTCTGGTTTGTCAAAGTGGAGAAGACAGAGAAGGGTGATTCAAGCAGGAGGCAGCAACATAAAAGTGCCCAGAACTCAGGATGAGCAAGGCAGTGAGAACATCAGCCAGGATGGAAAAGGAACTTTCCTGGGAACTGCATGACACAAGATGGAAGCCAAGAGGAGAGAGAAAAAGCCCAGCAGTGACCTGCTGGAGACTTCATTTTAAAGGAAAACACAAACTGTCAAAGTAGTGAAATAAAATAAGCCTGGGACAGCAGGGTATCATGTGGATTGCAAAAGGTGGTTGCTGAGGAAATGCAAGCAGAAGGGCAAGAAACAGCATCCCCAAATGGAATAACCTTCCAGGGCGTGCTCCTCCCACAGGCCCAACACAGCACACTGCCATTCGCAGGGCTTCAGAACCTGTTGCCAACTCAGGACACCCAAACCTCACAGACCTCCGTTTCTACCCTAGAACCAGGGGTACTGCCAATCAGACCTCAGGCATCACACCTCGGCACGGGTGTTGCTGGGACGTGACGCAGGCTTACTGCTTATGCAGAACCAGTGGTTACCAGTGGTCTCACTCAGCAAGCCAGCGAGTGCATACTGGTGCCTCTGCTCTTACCCCACTGCCCTCTGCACGCTAAGCTTTCTTGCACCAGGACGGCCAACATCGTAGCCCCTTGTCCTATATTCAGACCCCAGGGCCCTTCCCTTCCTGTCTGAATGCCAGGATCTGAATGCCGACCCCGAGCTCTGCTCTCCTGGGCCCCCTGCACCCCAAGGCTACACAGCATAGTGGCATAGCTCCGCACCCTCCACTCCTCTTTGAACACAAAAGCCCTACCCGAGGAAATCAGACCCATGTCACCCCAGCACCAGACCCTTCCCAGTGGGGCCATGGTCACTGTTCAGCAGCCTCTCATCCCTGACTCCCTGACTGCCTTGCACAGCAGTTACCCTGAACCTCTTCTCTTTTCAGAGTCAAGCCCTTCATTTGCAAGAGATGATGATCTCAGCTCCTCCATCACAGAAGAGATTCCCTGGGGTCATCCAGGGTGACAGTATGTCTCCAATATGTCTGCAGCAGCCTATGAACACAGCAAGACCACTCCTCCCCTGAGCCAATTCCACCCTCAGCAGCATTGCCAGCGGGCTCTAGGAGACTTGAAACAGTCTAATGTACAGAAAATACAGAAGCTCCTCTATTGGCCAGGAGGAAGAGAAACAAGACCAGAAATTGGAGCAGGCCCTAAGCATTTTTTAATTTTAGCATTTTCAGTTACTTTACCTGCTAATCACTGTCACTCAAGCTTTTGGCACATCCACAGAATTCTAGCAGCGCTAATAAATCTCAGAGTTCCCTTTTTTGTTATGTACATAAGAACACTTTTACTCTTTGTCTTCAATGCTTTTAAAACATTATTCAGATAATTGCGTAAGTTATAAAATAGTGTAAAAGTTAACAATTCTAAGAGTGACTAATAAAAGCACCAAGTTTTTAGAAAGTACATGTAGCCAAAAAAAAGTGCACATACTCAAAAGTCTTAAAGGTGCTAAGATGAATAATTTTCTTGCATCCTGCTAATAAGGGGAAAAACAAGTGATTCTGACAGATTCTGAAACAGTCACACACAATATGAAAGTTGTCTAGTCAAATGAGGTGCACAGCAGAAAAATGTGCTCCCTACTTCATGTGTATGGGAGCAATGCTACCTGGACCCCCTCAACAGCACTGTCCTCCCCGCCACCCAGGAAGCGGCTCCCCTCCCCCAAGCTGTACTCTATGCCTGTGAGGCCCCTGCTCTGATGATCCCCCTTCCAGCTAAAAGTCCTGACACCCCCTCCAGAACCCTGCACTCACCCCAATCCTCACCTGCACGACAATGGACACATGGCTGCCAGCTGGGGAGGACCCGCCAAGAGACAAGACAAAGTGAGCTTTCTTCTGACTCCTCACCAGAGCGCTCACTCGAATCAGCTTCCCAGCCAGGTTTGGCTGCACACCTCTGAGCTTGCCTCTAGAGAAGGAAGAAAGATTAAGACAGAAGGCCCATTTTTTATTTCCCCTTTTCCCCACAGATGCCTGCCCTTCTGCTGTAAATAACCTAGTAGTCATCTAAAATTAAAATCTCCCTGGCCCAAGACGCCTGGGTAGCTCAGTGGTTGAGTGTGTGCTTTTGGCTCAGGGCATGATCCCAGGGTCCTGGGATTGAGTCCCGCATTGGGCTCCTCCAGGGGAGCCTGCTGTTCTCTCTTCATCTGCCTCTGCCTCTCTCTCTCTCATGAATAAATAAAACCTTTAAAAAAATAAATCAAATCAAATCAAATAAATAAAATAAAATCTCCCTGGCCCAAAGCTATTACTGTGAAGACGTCCTGCAAACTCGTCCTGACCTTGGATAAGGCAAACGTCCCTTGAAGACTCAACACTCAACATCTGGGAGAGGCCCTCTGGTTCCCTTTGGCTCAGGTGGGAACACTCTACCAGTATGGCTCTCAGGACCTTTCCCGCCTTCCTCCCAGTCTCACAGCACTCTAGCATCCCTGAGAGAGTGAGGGAAGGAAGGGTTACCTGTGCCTGAGCAGGCGGGAAGCAGTCTCTGGGTAGAGAACAGGGAGCGGGGTGAGAGGGCCAGGACTGGTGTTGGAGGGGCACACTGGTACCGGAGCACTCAGGAGCTCTAAGTGTCCTTCCCCTGAAGAACTCCACCTGGCAGGAGGGAGGTAACTCCAACTGGGGAACAGAAACAGACGACCCAACCAAGACAGGTCCAGATCTATGAGCTAGAAAAGACCAAGAGCAACAGTTAACCAGGACCCTAGCATCCCACCCACACTCTGCTACCTTTCTCCTCTCAGAGAATTAATGGCCTCGCTCCCTAAACACCATCCTTGTGAGGCTTGGAGACACATGACCCTCGCCCTCCTACTCACCTCACAGTTCAAGACACCAGTGTTATCTTTTACATAGAGGTCTCCTTTCCTGCACTCCTGTTCCAAGTCCCCCGACAGGTCTGTCAGTGTCCCTAAGAGTATCAGCCGCTCCCGTGGGAGGGGGGTTCCACTCGGCCCAGCCTCTTGGGTCCAGGCCTGGTACGCACTGCTGCTCCAGGACAGGTGGCTACAGCATGGGAGGTTCTGGTGGGTCTTGAGGTCCTGCACTGAGACAAAGCTGCAGAGGGAAGGAAACAGAGGTCCTGAAAAGCCACATCCAAGCCTAGGAATTACCCACAACCCCAATGATTTCCCCAAGCTCCCAAGGAAAGATAAAGGAAAATAGAGGAGCTTAAAGGGCAGGAGCCTCAGGGCTGAGAGCCTAAGACATGAGGATGAGGTCTGGGCCTGAGGACTGGGGGGTGTCCTAAGGCAGGGTCCAATGCCACTCTGAACAACACATGGCAAAGAAAGGGCCCAGACAAAGGAAGAGGTGCACCAGGGATCCCTGGGTGGCGCAGCGGTTTAGCGCCTGCCTTTGGCCCAGGGCGCGATCCTGGAGACCCGGGATCGAATCCCACGTCGGGCTCCCGGTGCATGGAGCCTGCTTCTCCCTCTGCCTGTGTCTCTGCCCCTCTCTCTCTCTCTCTCTCTCTCTCTGACTATCATAAAGAAATAAAAATTAAAAAAAAAAAAAAAAAAAGGAAGAGGTGCACCAGCAGTCTGAGGGGATAAGCAGCCTCTGGGGAGAACGCCGGACCACACACAGCATCCCTGACAGCATCTCGGCTCTCCGCTGCATGGAGAACCCTGACAGGGCCGCTAGGGCATGTGCCTGCTGGCCAGACCTCAGCAATCCCAGCCAGATGTCCTCCCTCATCTGGGATATCACAGAACCTGAGACCAGCAGGGAAGCAGAGGCTCAGCGGGAGTCGGTATCAAGAGCTCCCAAATCTCAAAAGATGCTTGAGATTGGCCATTCTCCAGGCAAGGTTCGCAACACTGCTCATTGCCACCCATGGCAAAGTGAGGCACCAAGAATGTGCTAAGTAATGGTGAGTTTCTCAAGGTTGTGACGGATGCACATCTGTCATCCCACTCTCCCACACACTTGCCTTCTCATGATCATCTGAACAGAAGAGAAAGGATAAAGGTACGAACCATCACAACTTACCCTCCTCCTTATACTCATGAACATCACCCCCATGGGAGTACAAACAGCTGGGAACGCTGTCCTGGGTGGCCCACTCCCCTTCCACATCTGCTTCATTCTTTCCCAAAAGGCTTTGGAGAATATAAAAGGCAAAGATGGAGACTAGCACGTGTTGAGTACTAGTCTATGCACATACTATAACGGGTCCATTCACGCTCAGGAATGCACTGCAGCTTCACCAAAAACCCCGGTTACCACCACCAATGAAGAAACTTCAAGAGGTCAGGTACACTATGGTGTGGGTGGCAAAGCCAGGGGTGTCTCACTCAAAAGTCCAGGTTCTTCCCCTGTGTTTCTCTACTTCTCTAAAGGCCCAGGACAGGCAGCTGGAGAGAGCGGTCTCTTTCCCCTAGGAACCTTCAGGACAGAAAACAGGATGGGGTCACTTTTCCCCGACTCTTCAGGGTCTAGGTAAGGAAAATGAAAGTGAGAACCCCAGATCCTTGCATTGTCACTGCTCTCCAGCTTGCAATGCTTACCACACTACCTGGCACACGGCAGGCACTCCACAAAGGAGAAGAGAAACACAGATAAATAAAATCTTTAACCCTGTCAAGTAATTCCTATTTTATCCTTGCCCACCATTTCTTACGGATTCCTCACTTCTACACAAACATAAAAATATATTTTGCACTTTCCAAGAATAAGAAACTTTAAAGAGTTTCCAAATTTCCTAACCGTTCCTGACTTACCACTTTTCCATTAATTCAATTTTTTAAAGATTTTATTTATCTACTTGAGAGATAGCACAAGAGCACACAAACAGCGGGGAGTGTGGCAGGCAGAGGGAGAGAGAGAAGCAGACTCCATACCAAGCAGGTAGCCTATTGTGGGGCTTGATCCCAGGACCTTGGGATCATGACCTGAGCAGACGCTTGCTTCACAGACTCAGCCACCCAGGTGCCCCTCCACTATTCTGGAATACCAGAATCTTGAGAAATTTGGATCTTTCTTAATTAGAATATGATCACAGAGGCCACTAGGCACATACCCAGCTCACCTGTGGGAGACTCTAACCCTCCTGCATGAGGCTTCACGGCAATCACAACCTCCTCAACCACGACTAATCTGTCCCATGCTAGAGGGACAGTTTTCTAATGAGATTTCATTCTGTGTTTACATAAACAACTTATTTAACCTTACTAGTTCTAAAAACTGGAGGAACAAAGGAAAACGTGAAGCCAGTGGAGCAGAATGAGAAGTTACGAAGGGGGAAAAGAAGCCCCCAGGTAAGTGTGTCCTGAGAAATTCCTTTGGGATTAAAATAAGGTATCAGATACACACAAAAAACACCTTTTTAATAAGATAAACACCAGATTGGGGAAAGGCTCAGGATATACATATACATTGCTACGTGTGTCCTTTGGCACAAGTCTGCCAGTTGGAATGCAGAGTGAAAGCGGCCAATGGAGTGGCTGCATGTGTGCCCACTGAGCCTATACCTCCCTTCAGAACAGTGGGTGCTGCCAGGGAGGGTAGGGAACAAGTGGGTGGGGACAGAGCACTGAGGACACTCCACTAAACCTGTAATGTTTTACTGCCTATAAAAAAGAACTGAGGGATCCCTGGGTGGCGCAGCGGTTTGGCGCCTGCCTTTGGCCCAGGGCGCGATCCTGGAGACCCGGGATCGAATCCCACGTCGGGCTCCCGGTGCATGGAGCCTGCTTCTCCCTCTGCCTGTGTCTCTGCCTGTGTCTCTGCCTCTCTCTCTCTCTCTCTCTCTCTCTGTGACTATCATAAATAAATAAAAAAAAAAAAAAAATTTAAAAAAAAAAAAAAAAGAACTGAAGCAGGGTGCCTGGATGGCTCAGTTGATGAAGCATCTGTCTTTGGCTCAGGTCATGATCCTGGAGCTCTGGGATCAAGTCCCAGGTTGGGCTCCCTGCTCAGTGGGAATCGGTTTCTCCCTCTCCCTCTGCCCCTCCCCCTCCCCCTGCTTGTGTGCATGAGTTCTCTCTCTCTCCCTCAAATAAATAAAATATTCAAAACAAAAAAGAACTGAAGCAAACATGGCAAATGTTAAGGTTTTTAAAAGCTAAGCAGCAGGGGATCCCTGGATGGCTCAGCGGTTTAGCGCCTGCCTTTGGCCCAGGGTGCGATCCTGGAGTCCCGGGATCAAGTCCCATGTCGGGCTCCCGGCATGGAGCCTGCTTCTCCCTCCTCCTGTCTCTCTCTCTCTCTCTCTCTCTCTCTCTCTCTCTGATAAATAAATCTTTTTAAAAAATTTAAAAATAAAAAAATAAAAGCTAAGCGGTAAGTACTGACCATGCACAGTGTGAATAAGCACCCTGATGAGTCTGGAGGGCTTTCACAGGAAACACTTTCTCAATGGAGGCAGCACTGTGTTGGTTTACAGTCTGGTGGACCAGCATTTTTAGTTTCCATTAGTTTATAACAAAGTCCATGGATAAGAAAACTATTCAGAATTTTGAAAATGATGTTCACATAACAGTACAATTAAGCAGTCTTCTCATTCAAGATCCCTTGCCTTTACTGCTGGCGACAGACTGTGGGGCCGAGTGAACACCACACTGCAGTGCGCAATGTAAATCCAGGGAGAAAAATACCTTATGCTTGCGTAGGGCTGGGAAATGCCTAATTAAACAAAGCCAAACAGGCTTTCATTTTTCTTTATTTTTTAAAGAATAAACAGTGATACATACACTCACATAACAGAATACCATGCAGCAGTGGAAATAAATGAGCTAGAGCTCTTAACGTGAGTCAATGTCAGGAACATGTGAAGCACAAAAGGAAATTGCAGAGGATATATAAGGTACGGTGCTATTTACAGAAAGTCAAGACATAAGCAAAACTACATTACATGGCTCAGAGATAGGTGCGTGTGTGTAATAAAAACATAAAGAAACAGGAATAATACACCCCACATTCGACAGAACTACATTACGATCCAGTGATTGCACTATTTATCCAAAACATACAAAAATACAGATTCAAAGGAGCACTTGCGTCCCAACATTTATAGCATCATTAACAACAATACCCAAACTGTGGAGAGAGCCCAGATGTTTACCAGTTGATGAATAAAGAGGAAGTGGCCTATGTATACAATGGAATATCAGCCATCAAAAAGAATGAAATCTTGTGATGACATGAATACAGCTAGTGTATTGCTAGTGAAATAAGTCAGGTAGAGAAAGACAAGTACCACATGATCTCACTCACACGTGGAATTTAAGAAAAAATAACAGATGAACATATGGGAAGGGGCACCTGGGTGGCTCAGTGGGTTAAGTGTCTACCTTCAGCTCAGGTCATCATCTCGGGGTCCTGAGATCAAGCTCCATATCAGGCTCTGTGCTCAGCAGGGAGCCTGCTTCTGTACCTCCCCCTCTCCCCACTGTTCAGGCTCTCTCTTTAATAAAATATTTTTTAAAAAGAGAGAGAGGAAAATAAACCCTAAGACTTTTTTGGGGGGGAGGGGGGAATAAGATTTTTTTAAATTATTTGACAGAGAACAGAAGAAGGAGAGGGAGCTTCAGGCAGAGTGACAGGGAGAAGCAGACTCCCCACTGAGCAGGGAGCCCAACACAAAACTTGATCCCAGGACCCTGGGATTATGACCTGAGCTGAAGGCAGACACTTAACCAACTGAGCCGCCCAAGTGCCCCTAGAGACTCTAAAGGACAGATCACAACAGAGGGCTGATGGAGGAAGGAGGGTGGTGAATGGGCTACAGTGGTGGTGGGTATTAAGGGCAGCTGTTGTGATGAGTACAGGTGTTGTTATGTAAGCAGAAAGCAACATTGCACTCACTATGTGTTAACTAACCAGAATTTAAAGAAAAATTTGGAAAAAAAATAATTAAAATGTTAAGCCAAAACACTGTGTTAACTCACTGGAATTAAGATAAAAACTTAAGGGGCACTTTGGTGGCTTCGTCAGTTAAGCATCTGACTCGGGTCACGATCTCAGGGTTTTGAGATCGAATCTCAGGTCAGGTCCCACTGGGACCACATGGAACCTGCTTAGGATTCTCTCACCTTCTCCCTCTGCCCCTCCCTGCCCTCTTTCTCTTTCCTTAAAAAAAAAGATAACAAAAATAAAAACTTAAAAAAATACACCCACATTTGAAATAGTGGTTACTTCGATGAGTTAAACAGGTTTCTTTTCAGAGGACTTTCAGAGCCTTTAGTATGCTAATGAGCTTTGTGACTTCCCTAGAGAAGCTTATATCGTATCCACTGTCTCTCAAACTTATTTGGCCATGGAATCCTTTTCTTCCAATTCTTTATTAACATAGCCTTGAAGAGTTTCAGAAATGTTAGTGTTGTTAAAAAACAAAAAACACAAACACCTTCAGAAGACTTGAAATCCTGGTCTTAAACACAACTATCTGCACTTGCTGACATCTTAATTCTGTACCTTAGTTTACACACACTTACACATACACACACACACACACACGCAAATCTCAGCCTTTCTACCATCAGAGCTCTTTTTCCAAATTTTCTACCTTCCCCTTCCTCCCTCTTCTCCTTGTTCCTAACTTGACTTCAGTCAATTTGGAGAGCTACAGGAAAAGGCAAATAGCTTGAAGCAGGACGGAAAAGCTGGCAGAGGCGATTGTGTTAGAGCCCGTTCTACCCTGAGCTGCCCCGTACCCCCCATCCCCCCATCAAATGCCCCTCCTGTTTTCCCCTTGTTAACTGTTAACTCTAGGTCCTTTCTTGTCAGTCCCAAAACTCCTGAACCCTTCCTCTCCTTACCTGTAGCTGAGGGGCAAGGGAAAACCCTGGTTCTTTCCCTGGGACAACCAGACAGTCTTCACACAGTCAAGTACCGACTGAGTCAACTGGACATCAGGCTCGCTGCCAGCGGGACACAGCGTCTCTTGGATGAAGGTCTGGGCAGCCTCCAGCCAGGCTTGCTCCTGAGGAAAGGGAATCTAGTTAAAACATGTTCCTAACCATCCTGCCCATCCACGGAATTTTGGGATTCCAGTAATAAAAAAAGAAATTAAGTGGGCATGTAAATAAACAAGTCATAGAGTTTAGAACTCGGAAGAAACCTTAGAAGCCTTAGTCCGGTCACACCTCAGGCCACTGGCCACCCAGCTCTGCTCTTACCTCTTTCTCTCCTAGGTGTCACTTGATAACCAGCTGTATGGGTAGTCCTACCTCTTTCTCTAACAAACCCCATACCAATCCTTAACATGCTCAACGGGAATATACATTGCCCTGGGAACCCTCCTCTGACCATCCCAGACTAAATGCTGCTCCCATCCTGGAGCTCCCACAGCACCATGACATATTTCTATAAACAGCAATGATCACTAGGTACAGCACAAGGGTGTCCCATGTTATGTGGGATGTGGTTCTGAAGCCAACAAGTTGAAAAATAGTCAAAATCACCCTTGGGAAAAATCCTTTAAGTTGCTCATAAATAAGACACGGTATTATACACTAATAAGTATATACAAGACTAAAAAATGCCTAATTATAAGCAGTATATAAAAAGGACATAGGCAGAGTATAATTTTTAATAATTATTATTTTTTGTAACAGATTTTATTTATTTGAGAGAGAGTGGGAGTGCATGAGCAGGGGAAGCAGCAGAGGGAGAGAGAAGCAATTCCCCACTGAGCAGGGAGCCTGACGTTTGGCTGGATCCCAGAACACAGAGATCATGAGCTGAGCTGAAGGCACATGCCTAACCGGCTGAGCCCTCCAGTCTCCCCAATCATTCTTTTCTTTAGTCAAATATGTACATTTGAGTTCCCATAAGCTAAATCAATGTAAGATGCAATCCTACTGATTTGTTTTGTGTTCTCTTTTCAGCTGAGATGTAGGCTTCCTAAGGAGGGCATGAGCCACCTTTGTATACTTATCACACATTCTGGACATCTAGATGCCTCTTTATACAGATAGCTCTAGAGAAGGGGACCAGTTTGGCCTATTTCCAATATCAGGCTGCTTTATTTATTTAAAGTTTCTGACAGGGGTGCCTGCTGACTCAGTTAAACATCTCAGGGTCATGAGATCGAGACCCCCACATCTGCTTGAGACTCTCCCTCTGCCTCCCCCACCCCATGACACAGCAAGGGCTCTCTCTCCCTCTTCTCAAATACATAAATCTTAAAAAAATAATAATAAAATTCTGACAGCATTGGGCAGCCCTGGTGGCTCAGTGGTTTAGTACCGCCTTCAGTCCAGGGCGTGATCCCTGGAGACCTGGGATCGAGCCCCACATCAGGCTCCCTACATGGAGCCTGCTCTTCTCTCTGCCCCCCACCCCGTTTGTGCCTCTCATGAATGAATAAATAATATCTTTAAAAAATAAAAATAAAATTCTGACAGCATTGAACAAACCTTGAGGGGTAGGACTTTTATCTCTCTAGACCCCCAATGTTAATTCTAAACCATTACAGCTCTATCCCTGTTCCTCCTCTATTAGCCTTCTGGTCAGTCCTCCACATTCGCTCAATCTTCAGCAGCTTTAGAAACCCGTCTTCAGGTTCTATTGATTTGTGTCCTTGTGGACAGCTCTACCACTAAGCCTCACCTTCACTCCACCTTAGCCAAACACTGTCACCTGTGGTCATCATTGTCAAAACTAGACCAGATCAGAGTGCCTGGCTGGCTCAGTCACTGGAGCACATGACTCTTGATCTAAAGGTTTTGAGTTTGAGCCCCATGTGCGGTGCAGAGATTGTTTAAAAATAATCTAAGGGGATCCCTGGGTGGCTCAGTGGTTTAGCGCCTGCCTTTGGCCCAGGGCATGATCCTGGAGTCCCGGGGTCAAGTCCCATGTCGGGCTCCCGGCATGGAGTCTGCTTCTCCCTCCTCCTGTGTCAATGCCTCTCTCTCTCTCTATGTCTATCAAAAATAAATAAATCGGGATCCCTGGGTGGCGCAGCGGTTTAAAATACGCCTGCCTTTGGCCCAGGGCCCGATCCTGGAGACCCGGGATAGAATCCCACGTCGGGCTCCCAGTGCATGGAGCCTGCTTCTCCCTCTGCCCGTGTCTCTGCCTCTCTCTCTCTCTGTGACTATCATAAATAAATAAATAATTAAAAAAAAATAAATCTTAAAATAAATAAATAAACATAAATATAAATAAACCTAAAAAAAAAAAACAGAAAAACAAATTGGACCAGGTCATCATTCAGCACTGCCTCAACAACATAATGAGAGCCTCACCCAGACTCTCATACTTTTTGTCTTCCTCTATAGTTGCTGAGGACCTGTCCACTACTTGGCATATAGAATACTATTTTTCAAAGTAGTGCCATTGCCTCACAATCCCCTAAGTTTTGTTAAAACTGAATTCGTGGATCTCATTCACTGAGTCAAAATCCTAGCAGGAGTGGGAGAACCCAGGAATCTATATTTTAAAGATTTGTTTATTTACTTATTTAGAGAGAGAGTGCCAGTGGGGAGAGGGGCAGAGGGAGAGAGAATCTCAAGCAGACTCCTGGCTGAACAGGGAGCGTGACACAGGGCTGATACAACAATCCTGAGATCATGACCTGAGCAGAAACCAAGAGTCGGACACTTAACTGACTATGCCACCCACGTGCCCCAGGAGTCTGTATTTTATTTTTTAATTTTTATTTTTTTAAAAGATTTATTTATTTATTCATAAAAGACAGAGAGAGAGAGAGAGACAGACAGACAGACGGACAGAGGGAGAAGCAGGTTCCCCACAGGGAGCCAATGCAGGACTCAATCCCGGATCCTGCGATCATGACCTGAGAGGAAAGCAGGCGCCCAACTGCTGAGCCACCCAGACATCCCAGGAGTCTGTATCTTAAATAAGCTCCCCAGATCATACTGATGTAAGCTGAAGTTTGAGAACACTATACACTTTCCCCTCAGTGGCCTCTGCCACTGTATGTCCACAGATGCCACTTTAGTTGAGCTCTCTCTATTTCACTCTGGTTATATCCATCTGCTTATTCCCCACCTGCCCAACCTACAGGTACCTTAAAAACAAAACAAAACAAAATCCAAACCACCCAGTCCTCTTCCAACATTCACTAATCAGCAAACAGCATCCTCAACCTAATAATTCTACCCCGAAACCCCAAGTCCTCCTTAACATCTTCCTTTCCCTACACAAGTCCTCTAGATTCTACCTCCTTCATATATCTCGTTTCCTCAGTCTCCACTTCTGGAACCTCAACACTGCTGCCGAGGTCGAGGACACCATCATCTCTCCCCGCTTTCCAACCACAGCCGCCTAACTGGCACTCTCCACCTACACTGCTACCTCAGGACACGAAAAAGCGAATCTCATCCAATCGCGTTTCTGCCTACCACCCCGCAGTCACTCCCCATCATCCGAAGGTTAAGGTCGCTGTTCGGCAAAAGACTCAGGAGTCGGTCGGCTTGTCACCCCGTCCACCACCACCCGACCGAACTTAGGTTTTCCGAAGATTCCTGTTGAATCTCTTGTCCTGAAAGCTCCGTCGGCACTTTTCTGCCCGGCTCACCCCAACCCGCGCTGGGGGGTCTCACGCGCCTTCCTGGTGTACCGTCGTCCCTTCCCCTGCAGCCGCGTCAGGGGCCTCCCCAGGGCCGCCCCGCCCCACCGTTCGCCCTTAGGCAGCCCGCCGCTTCCCACCCGGTTGGACGCCTGGAGAGGGGGCGGGACGCGTCCGAGGCTCACAGCTGCCGCCGCGGGCACCAACAAATGCGTTCGCAGAACGCGCGACGGGAGAAGGACGAGCAGCCTTGCAGGGCGCCACCCCCCCGCCCGGGCGCGGCCAGCGAAGGCAGGCCAAGCAGCCAGCTGCAGGGGACAGGACGAGAAGGGAAACGGGGACGAGGGACGGAGGAGCGCACTCACGGAGTCTGGAACTGGAGCCAGATCGGCCTCCATGATGCGCCCGAGGCTACGCCCTGGGAGAGCCCGCGAACGGCCGCCGCGTGAGGGCTGGCGGGAAGGCCGCTGGGTGACGTCATCCGTGGGCGCGGCCGCGGCTGCGCCACCGGCTCCTCCCACCGGCGTGCTCGGGCTCTTCTGCGCAGCCGCCGCGGCAGTCCCCCTGCTCTGGCACGGTCACTTCCTTCCGCGGTGACTTCCTGTCAAGCATCCCCGCTCGGGCGAGGGGTTGGGGAATTTGGGGGAGAATCAGTTGGGGAGGCAGCCAGCCTGGTTGGTCGCCCCGGAGCATCTTTCCACCTCCACCTCCCCGATATTGCCAAGCAGACTGTCGTGCTTCCTCAGGGCAACCTGAGCACATCATTCATCCTTGTGTTACGGCCTTGACTCAGTGCCCTCAATCTTTGTTTCCCCACTAACCCCTGAATAACCTAGAAGCGCTAATCCTATTTATTCTATGTATCCTTGTGCTCGGGTACCTAGAACAGTGCTCGCTGCTAAATGTTGGTGGATCAATTGGGTGAAAGCCTCTTGCTGTTTCTAATGCCTCCAACCAACCAATCATTGCATGGCTTGGTAGGCGGTGAGGGAACAGGATTCATGCAATTCTGCGCCAGGTACTGTTCCAGGCTCTAGAGGTACAGCAGTGAACAAAAATTTAAAAAAAAAAAAAAATCCCTGCTGTCATGGAGCTTACATCCTATACTGACCGTTTAAAAGGAAGGAAGAAAAAAAAGTGTAGACAATTAGGAATAAGTGCTATTGAAAGAGAAATAGGGAATGCAGGGGGTAATGTGTCCTTTTTGTATGCAGAAGGCCTTATTGAAGAGGTGACTTTACAGTAAAAGATTGGAAAAGATGAAGGATTCAAATGATGGGGATCAAAGAGAAAGGGGGGCACCTGGGTGGCTCAGGGGTTGAGCATCTGCCTTCAGCTCAGTGCGTGACCCCAGGGTCCTGGGATCAAGGACTCCCCAAAGGGATCTGCTTCTCCCTCTACCTGTGTCTCTTGCCTCTCTCTGTGTGTCTTTCATGAATAAATAAATACAATCTTTAAAAAGAGAGAGAGGGGGGATCCCTGGGTGGCTCAGCAGTTTGGCACCTGCCTTCAGTCCAGGGCATGATCCCGGAGTCCCGGGATTGAGTCCCTGATCCTGCATGGAACCTGCTTCTCCCTCTGCCTGTGTCTCTGTCCCTCTGTCTCTCTGTGTCTCCCATGAATAAATAAATAAAATCTTTAAAAAAAAAGAGAGAGAGAGAGAGAGAGAGAAAGAACAGATGGAAGAGCCACAAGCACAGAGGCACTATGGTGAAAAGAAATGCAAGGTAGTCAGTGCTGTGGGAAGGGAAGACAGGAGATTAAAAAGGTAAAATAAGGGGGATGAGGTGGATAGCTGAAAGAGGTGAAGACAGGGGCAGCCCCGGTGGCGCAGCGGTTTGGCGCCGCCTGCAGCCTGGGGTGTGATCCTGGAGACCTGGAATCGAGTCCATATCAGGCTCCCTGTGTGGAGCCTGCTTCTCCCTCTGCCTGTGTCTCTGCCTCTCTCTCTCTCTCTCTCTGTGTCTATGACTAAATAAATAAAAAATCTTAGAAAAAAAAAGAGGTGAAAAAAAAAAAGAGGTGAAGACGGTTAAGAGATACAAACTTCCAGTTATAAGTCACAGGGATGAAAAGTACAGCATAGGTAATATGGTCAATAATATTGTAATAATTGTGTGTAGTGACCCATGGGAACTACACTTATTGTGGTGGGCCTTTTGTAATGTATATAACTGTTAGTTCATAATTCTGTTCACTTGATACTATACAGTATATATGTCAACTGTACTTAGATTGAAAAAATAAAATTTGGGGGGGCCTGGGTGTCTCAGTCTGTTAAGCATTTGCCTTCAGTTCATGTAATGATCTTAGGGTCCTGGGATCAAACCCCATGTTGGGCGGGAGCCCTGCTCAACAGGGAGCCTGCTTCTCTGTTTCCCTCTGCCCTCCCCCAGCTCATGCTCTCTCTCTCTCACTCTTTCTCAAATAAGCCTAAAAATAAAATAAGGTCTGGTGCCTGGGTAGCTCAGTTGGTTAAGCATCTGCCTTCAGCTTAGGTCATGATCCTGCTTCTCCCCCATCCTCTGCCAGCCACTCACCTGTTGTGCGCTCTCGCTCTCTCTCTCTCTCTGTCAAATAATTTGAAAAATCCTTAAGAAAGTAAACTAAAGGGATGCCTGGGTGGCTCAGTGGTTAAGCATCTGCCTTCGGCTCGGGTCATGATCCTGGAGTCCTAGGATCAAATCCCACATCGGGCTCCCTGCCTGGAGCCTGCTTCTCCCTTTGCCCATGTCTCTGCCTCTCTTTCTCTGTGTGTCTCTTATGAATAAATAAAATCTTAAAAAATAAAATTAGGGCGGGGGGGAAATCCCTGCGTGGCTCAGTAGTTTAGCGTCTGCCTTTGGCCCAGGGCGTGATCCTGGAGTCCCGGAATCGAGTCCTGTGTCAGGCTCCTGGCATGGAGCCTGCTTCTCCCTCTACCTGTGTTTCTGCCCCTCTCTCTCTGTGTGTCTATCATGAATAAGTAAATAAAATCTTTAATAAATAAAATAAAATAAGGGAAAGTGAAAGGGGCATTTTAAATTATTTTAAACTTATAGCAGCTTCAAATTGTTTTTGGGACAAGATAAGCAAAATATAGTAAATATAAACATTGTAGATAATAAGAATGCTCTAGGTATCATTTAAGAGGAAATAAAGACTTTAATTCTACAAGTTATGGTATCCATTAATTCAACGACGCATTCGATGTAAGCTGTTTCTCATTGCATGAACTAGTTATGCAGTGCACTGTGGTTTCATATTCTTTATAAAGTGAATCTTTGCAGTTGTTTCCTATGATGACATCAGAGATGTTTCTTCCCTTTCCACCAAAACAACAAATTCTCCAAAAGATCGCCCTTGTCAAAGCCTAAGGTCCCAAACCTAATCATCCCTTTTGCTTTTCTCAACTCAGAAGACTGCCTTCATTTACCAAATCCATGAAGATGTGCCCTATATCCTGGGATCTACCTTTTTTGTAAAAAAACATTTTATTTATTTCAGAGAAAGAGAGCACAAGGAGGGGGAGGGAGAAGCAGACTCCCCACTGAGGAGCCCAACATGGGCTCAATCCCAGGACCTGGGATCATGACTCAAGTTGGAGGCAGTCGTTTAATTGAGCCAACCAGGCACCACTCCTCGAATTTACTTTTGATAGTTCATAGGAGGGAGTGTTGAATTTAAGCTACAGTGATCAAAGAAAGCTGTACTGGATATCTACCCCCGTCACTGGCATGATTTATTTTTAAATTTTTAAAAAGATTTTTATTTATTCATAAGAGGCACAGAGAGAGGCAGAGACACAGGCAGGAGAACCAGGTTCTCATGCAGGGAGCCCGATGGGGGACTTGACTCCAGGACCCTGGGGATCACGCCAAAGGCAGCTGCTCAACTGCTGAGCCACCCAGTCATCTTCAATCTGCCTGTTTTGAGGACTTGTCAGTGGGTAGTAGGTAGTAAGGAAATTTAATTATTATTTTTGTTTGTTTGTTTCCCACTTCAGCTCCACCTCTGTAGCAGGTGAATAGCAGCACTATTACCTCCTTTTGTCTCTTTAAGTGTGCAGGTGGTAAGAACTTTCTACTTTCTGCCATTGCTATGCTCTGGGTGCCCCCACTGTAATTTGTTCCCTTAATCCTTTTTTTTTGTTTGTTTATTTCAGAGAGAGAGCCTGCACGAGAGGATAGGAGGAGAAAACAGCAGAATCCCCACTGTTAGGGGGGATATGGACATGGGGCTAGATTCCAGGACCCTGAGATCATGACCCTAAACAAAGGCAGACGATTAAGGGACTGAGCCACCCAGGTGCCCCTGTTCTCTTAAATCCTGCCGGTATCTCCATAAATATACTCTACCTAATTCTTGATTAAACCTTCTTGATTGTGCCATCTGCTTTCTGATAGGATCCTGACGGATACAAACCATTGTATTTACGTATCATTGAGGGTTTTGAAAATGCACAAAAAAAAATATGTATCTGGGCAGAAAGGACTAAGTGTCTGAGTTACAAAATCCTAGGAAACAAGTCAGGGCATTCCGCCCCAGCTCTCACATCTGTTACACAGGGTTTCTGAAAAGATCCAACAACGCTAACTGGTCACGTGCCTTAATGGATGCTCCTGCCATTGTTTAATCGTTACCGGAGCTAGAACGTGAACATTGAAAATGCAGGCCTCCCACTCTGCTATCGGTTAAAAAATAATGCATCCCAGGATGTCTGGGCGGGTCAGTGGTTGAGCGTCTCCCTTCAGGTCAGGGTGTGACCCCAGGGTCCTGGGAGCCTGCTTCTCTCTCTGCCTCTCTGTGTCTCATAAATAAATAAAATCTTAAAAAGAAAAAAAAATGCATCCATGGAGAAAACAAAAAAGTGGAAGGGAGCAGAAGTAGGAGGGAGAGGGAAACTGAGTTCTGGACAAAAAGGAAGCTTCTCATTCCGTTTCCTGCATTACAAGTTTCTGCCTCCATCACGGTTTGCACGGGGACCAGGGATAGGAGGACACAAAACGGCAACTCCCGAGATTCAATTTCTGAGCCAGGCCACCCGCGCTGTCCCGGCCTGCGAGCCCCCGCCCGCCTGCGCGGTGGCGGGTGGAAGTGGGCGGGGCGCCACGAGGCCCCGCCTCTTCCCAGGACTCCGTTGGATGACGCATCGCCGGCGCTACGCTACGCGGTGACCTGTGGCCATCACTGCCTTCCACACGTGCGTATGACTGGCGCCCGCAGCCCTGCTCCCGCACCCCTGCTTGCTGCATCCTTTTCTCTCCCCACCCCCACGCCTGATCCCGGCCACTTGTGTGTCCCGGGCAGGCCGAGGTGCGTCCAGCTGGGGCCCTGCCGTGTGGCCTTGCGCGCCATCCGCAGACGCATGGCAGGGAGCACCCCCCCCCCGCACCCCTACGTTGTCTCCTCCTCTTGCGCGGTTCCTCCCACCCACGAAAAGCCCGCCGACTGCCTCGCTTGTGTCCTGCTAGTCGTTGGGGGT